GTGTGCGACTGCTCCTGGCTCGGTCCGGCCCCCTCACCCCCGCGGCTCGCGCCTCCCGCTGCTTCTTGGGCTTCCCCGGCTTCTTCCTCCGAGTCGCCTCCTGCTTCTTCCGAACTAGCCCCGTCCCCGCTGTCCTCTTCGGATTCTTCCTGGGATAGAACTCCTTCTTCTTCCTCGCCGCTGCTGTCTTCGCCCCCGTCTTCTTCGGAGGAGGCTGCGTCCGGCTGCTCCTCGGACATCCCCTCTAGGGGGCGGTCCTCCTGGGGGCCCTGCATCTCTGCGCCGGCGTCCGAGGCTGGGCTGGAGCTGGGCTCCGCCTGGTCTTCAGTCCCCTCCCTGGCTTCTGCGTCCACGTCCGCGGCTCCATCTGGCACCTCTGGCTCCTGACCTGGCTCTGGGCTGCCCACCTCTTCTGTCTCGATCTGTGTGCCAGGAGAGGGCCCTGCGTCTTCAGGTTCCGAGGTCCTCTCTGCTGCTCCCTGTGCGGGGTCGTCGCGAAGGGCCTCCTCGGCGTCCTTGGGGACCACGCCACTCCCAGCCTGTCCTTCCGCCTCCCGTCCTGGGCTCTCTCCAGAGCTGAGCTCCGGCCCCCCATCCTCCCCCGGCTCCAACTCTCCTTCTGGGGGAGAGGCGCTCGCTCCCAGGGGGCCCGCATCCTCCTCCCCAGGCCCGGCAGCTTCCCCGGGGGGAGCGGACTCCGAGGCTGAGGCATTGGAGGGGCTGGCTTCGGAATCAGAGCCCAGGCCGGCGTTGGCGGTGAGGCCCCCCGCGGCATTCTTCTCAGAGCTCCCAGCCTCCCCGCCATCTCGGGGGTGAAGGAGCAGGTTCGTCTCTCCAAGGGCCGCCTCCGCCTGAAGGGCCCTTTCCTTCTCCTCTAGACTTGCGTCTCCAGCAGAGAAATGATTCTCCAACAAATGGTCAACATCTTCTGTGCCACCCGAAGCGGAAACTTGCGGTTCTAGATGATTAGAACACGATTGGTCAGTGTCAAGGGGTTGGCACTCACGTTGCTTCTCAAAAAAGCCTAACTCAGCCTAGCTCCTGTCTCCAGGAGAGTGGTGTGGACCTGGAGTGCGGTGGGGCACCTCCCTCCCTAGTCTTCATTACCGCCCTGGAGGGCCAGCAGAGGCGGTGCTATACCCTGCCTCCCTCCTGATGGCAGCTGGGGCGCGGGAGAGCAGCTGACCCACCCCAGAGCCCCGCCCCTAACCCTGCCTCTCCAGCCTCCCCGGAGGGATGGAAGTTGGGCGTGCCCTTCCAGCCCTTCCTCAACCTTGTTGGCTGGCAGGTGCAGCCTGGCTCACGGGGAGATCTTTCCAAGATAGGGCAGATGCATGTCCACACCACCCCTTGTCACTTCCTAGAGTCATTAACCAGCGTGCTTTTTATGTTGCTATCAGCAAAGGAGTGAAAACAGGTGTGTACCGGCCAGACCCTCTTAGGTTACGGGCAGAGCACTTAGGGGATTACTTGTGGCTCTCAACCTTATTAAGTCACACATCCAACTCTGTCCGCTTAAGGGCAGGAATTTGCTGGCCTCTCTACCTTAGATTAGAGGGGACATGGCCTGAGAAGGAGGAGATACCCAAAACGGGAAGGCCTGGGCTTCCCGGTAACCTTAGCCAACCCCTTGGGAGGGGATCCCCTTCTAATGGCCAATAGCTTTACCAGGAGAGCTGAGGACACAGGGAGAGCAAGCAGAGGGCAGGTAGGTGCCTAGTCTGTAACAGACGCCTATGTCAAGGGATCAGTGTGATTTATTTGGACAGTGGTGTCAGAAGGGAGGGTTGGACCTAACTCTTCTGCCCCCTCCCACCCAGGCTGCGACCTGTTTAAGGAGGAGGGAACATCGCTGGCGCATGGGGATAAGGGGACCATGGGTGCCCTGCCTCAGGATACCTGAGACGCCCCTGGGTCTGCCTTGACTCACAGCAGTCTTTGAAGCAGCAGCACACCACCTCTCTGCTGGGTACAGACACCTCCCCTCCCAGGCCACAGCCTGGTAATCCCAGCTCTGCCTCCCATGAAGAAAAGCCCCTTCCCTTCTGCCTCCGAGTACCCACCCCCTTGTTCCCTGAAACCTAAGGAGTTCCTCCAGGAGCCAGGGACAAATCTTTTCTCCTTAATCCCCACAGACACAACCTGCTCTCAAATTCAGAAGGATAGGAAGTTTGGGTGCCTTTTATTATAAAGGAGCCTGTATGTTGATATAACACTTCTCCCAGTGACCTTCACATCTGTGACCGTATTCACCTCTCTTATTACTGTCAGCCAGTTTTCAGAGCTGAAGGTCTGAAGAAAGTCTTTGATTCACCCAAGACACCAGGTGTCTAGTGGGTGGGTGGAACCCAGAACAGCCCACTCCTTGCCCAGATCTTCCATGCCATGCTGTGTTGGGGGGAGCACAGGGGAACCCTTTCCCCCTGGTACCTTGCCCCCGCTGCATGCACTCCCCTCCCTGGCCCTTGGATGGCAGGAACCAACGCTTCATCCTTCCTGTGTTCCCAGGGCTGTGACCCTGCCTGACCCCCAGAAAGTGCCATGAAGAGGCCCATGGGGAGTCTGGGGTACAACAGGAATTCCTGGCCCCTTAGTTGGGGAGCTGGAGGTTACTACTCATTTAAAATTCCTTTCATTACCACCCAAATACCTGTAAGTCCTGATTCCTTGGCCTGCAACTCTATTGATAACCCCCATAACCTCTGTAGAAAAAAACCTATGGCAGGAACTTGGTTTAACCCAAGGAGATTGACAGCCTACTGAGCAGCAATATATATAAATCTGTATCTCATATGAGACACATCTGTACAGTTATTTAGTGTGCCAGGCAATGCTTAAGCACTTTATACATTAAACATGAACTTGATCTTACTCAGCTTACTCTTACTTGCTTCTGTAAAAGAAGTCTTACCCTTATTCCCACCTTACAGATGAGAGGACAGACTGGAATCAGAGGCACTGAATGCCTTGCCCAGCAACACACAGCTAGCAACTGGCTGAGGCCATTTAAGTCCAGAGTTGCAGAAGCGATGGCCTGACACTAGAGCGGGTTCTAAGCCTGCACTACTCAGCGTGTGGTCCAGGCACCTGCAGCAGCAGCATCACCTGGGTGGGCCTGGTAGAGATGCAGACTCTCAGGTCCCAGAACAGACCCACTGAAAGGGAATTTGCATTCTAACAATTCATCTGTTGCACATTACAGTTTGAGAAGCACTAGTCCACAGGAGCTTATAAAACTGCATATAAACTAGTTCTCAACACTTGACACTGGCTATATACACTGGCTATATACTGGAATCTCCTGGTTCCTGATCCTATTCCTCGCCCGCTTTCCAGAGGTTCTGATTAAATTAGTCCAGGGTGCCCCAGCATCAGGACTTTAACCAAAAAAAAAAAAAAATTCTTGGGTAATTCTAACATGCAGCCAAAGCTGTAAACCTCTGCCCAGCCTGACCCCAAGGTTTCTGCTCCTGATCCCTCCTCACTCATGCACCCCCTGGAGGGTCCCAAATTGAATAGGTTACCGGGGCTTGGCATTTGACCTTGGAGTAGCAGTGGTCAAGGCTTCTTCTCTGGGGAATCCAGCCCTTTCCAACATGCCCTGTCACCCTCTACTGTTGATGTTGTTGATGATGATATGGTGATGGTGGTAATAGGGGTAGTGGGGATGATGTTGATGGTGGTGGTGATGGTGGTGATGATGACGACGTTCGTCTTGATGGTGGTGGTACTGATGGTGATGGTGATGATGATGGTAATGGTGATAGTGATTTTGATGGGGATGATACTGGGCTGAACAGACTCTGGGTCTGACTACGTGTGGCATTTCTAACAGTCTCAAAACACCCTCTTTTCTGGTTGGGGTGAGAGGGCTGCTTCATCCCAAGGGAGATAAGGACCCCAGACTTTGGGGGTTTACCATGACTTTCACACTGCTGTGTATTTTCCACGCCTGGGCCCTGGACAGGAACGCAAGTGTGTGCATGTGTGTATACACATTTACATCCATACTCTTCCCTGGTTTTTATGACTTAGTGTCAAGCTGCCCCTGCCCTTCTGCTAAGCAATTTGGAGTGAAAAAGACCGAGGGTGATGGCTTCATGCCCTGCGACCTTCCTTCCCAAGCTAAAAATTACTTCTCTGACAGAAAGTCTCTCAATGAAACAAGCTATGCCATTGGGGCCCCAGAGCTTGAGCCCCAGGAAGCAGCTGTGCCATCCGACCCGATCTCTCCTCCAGGATGCAGCGAGAGGCTTCAAGAGCCTCCAAACTCCTTCAACTCCATGACATCGAGCCCAGTGTCTTTCCACCCTGCCTGACCTCTGGCATCTTGCTGAAGCCCCCAAGTGGCCCTGGAGGAGAAGGTAAGGGAGGGGACAGAGGACCCAGGACACCCTGGACAGGTTGAGAGCCTGGTAAGATGAGTCTTGGTCTATCCCTGGACATGCAGTACCACACTGTATGTGCTGCTGCCAGGGCAGACGCTCGGGCCCAGGACAGAGCTGGGTGCTGACGTCAGGGTACATGAATAGCAAGCCCCCAGCTCAGCCCCGTATATCATGGGATGGCCCCTGAGCCTGACAGGCCAATGCCCAAGCAGAGCCCAGACTAAACAGGCTCTGCTTTCTCTCCTGACACTCCCCTCTCCCATTAGCCCTATCCTGGGGCTCAGCCTTGCAGCTGCTCCCCCGTCCACAGCCTTGGCAGGAGCCCCAGGCTCAGTTCCTCTCTCTGCTCTCCACCACCGAACACCTGATTTTTTCCCCCAGCTACTAACTCTTCCCAAGCACTTTCTTATGGACTCAGAGAACTATGGGGTTGCCAAGGGCCTTGGTGAGTCCAACTGCAGAGGAGGAAGCTTTAAAGACTTGCCCAAGGTCAGAGATAGGGTTGGGACAGAGTCCAAGTTCATGACCCTTAGTCTAGAGCGCTTTCTGCCCCCGCATAGTTGGCAAACCATGTCCCATGAGATGCTGGATTTCCATGGAAGTGCCTGGTGGGGAGGGAAGATGAAGGAGCCGAGATTCAGCCCCCTCCTTGGTACTCCCTGCCCAGCAGCTCTCCTTGGGTCTGTCTGTCCCACTGCCAAAGCTGGGAGGGGCTGACCACCACTGTCCTGCCTCCCCTGCCTCTTCCCTAAGAATTCCTTCTCTTGATCATTTTCTCCAACAGCCCAAGAAGCGCCCCCTCCCAGCACCTTTGCACTTTGCTGATCACCACATGCCCAGCACGGAGCTCGGGGATGTCTGACCTTCACGCAGAACATCAAGCTTCCCAAAGTGGCTCTGTGCTCTTCTTCATCCGCCCCCGGAGGCCGGGAGAGCAAGGATTATTCTCTTGAAATGAGGACGCAGACACAGGAAAGTCAAGTGTTGGTTCAACAGGGCATCCAGGGATGGGCCAGCACTCAGGCCAAGAAACACAGCAGAGCTCTCTGGCCCACAGGAGGTGGCATCCAGGCCCTGCAGGGCTTCTCCCGCACAGAGGCTTGGTCTCCAGGGTTGAGTCCACGTGAATCCGGGCGTTTCACAATGTGATTCTAATGAACACCAACATTTGAGAACTACCGCTCTGAGCTACCCTCAGTACCAATGTCAGGGAGAGTCTGTCTTGAAGCTGAAACTGGAGGTCAGGAGAAGAGAGGTCAACACCCCAGATCTTTTATTTGGTTGGCCTGTTTCGGTTGACCTCTTCATGAAATAGAATGGAAATCCAGTTCCAGTCCTCCACGTCTCCTTAGCACGTGTTTCTAAGCATCTAGCAAAGGTTATTCCTCTGTGGGATTTCTCATCCGTTGGAACTGAAACCATTGCATCCAAAGTCACACACAGGTATAATACACCACTACTCATACATAATTATGTAGATGAGTCATCAGTTAAAAAAACAAAGTCCTGGGGGCACAATCACTTTCCACCTCTACCCCTGGACACATCTGTCTCCGGGAATCAGGGAGTC